TTTTTTAATTTCAGATCAGAGGGAGAGATCAATCTACTTCCACCAGTCAGGTCCATTTTTTTTTGAGAGGGGGACTTCAGCGCCATTTTTCTAATTTAAAAAAAAATTTTTTTTGGTTTTGATTTTCATTTTTGTGTAGTTGATAAGTATTAGAATAAGTGTACAAAAAATTTAAAAGCATTAGTCATTATCATTACCTTCACATAGAAATAAAATTTTTAAAAATAGCTTAAATTTTAGGCCGCTAGACCACCGGGTCCCCTTAAGCATCTTACCGCATTAGTTTTAGATCTTAAGCCTGTTCGCATGATACTTTATTTCATAAATATTGAAATTAAGTTATCTTTAAGTATTTGCAAAGTATTAATATGAACAATAAACATAAACACATATGTGATATTTGTTATAGATTCCATTATCCTTCATCAGCAAACACGTGGAGCGGAGGTTTGGCGCCAGGTGGGGTAATATCGTTGTCTGGTCGAGCTTGATAATCGGTCAACCCCTTTGTATCATGGTCTATTATCACGACTACGTAGTAGAACACTTTGGAGAAACACTACTCGAAGATCATTCGATTGTCTAAGGATCATTGCCATTCAATTATTATTAATTGTATTGGCCAATGTTCCTCATTAATTCTACTGCGTTACTGAATACCGTTATTGTCGGATGTCTAATTGTTGGATACTGTTTACGTTAAACAATAAATGAAATTATTAACTTTGGTAATTGTCATAGTTAGTTTTTCTTATTTGGGTCCTTTATTCAACCAATAGTAATGTAGAAATTAAATGTTGTGGTAACAAAACACGCTAAAATTCGCATTCTAAAACCTTACAAATGAAATTAAATATGATTATTACGGAAAATCTTAGCAAAAATATTTTTTTTAGCGTCTTAAGGGTCATCCATAAATTACGTCACTGCTTAAAGGGGTGGGAGGGTATCTCCAGAGTGTGACATTGTGTGACAAGAGACAGGGGGGAGGTCAAAAGCTTTGTGACGTCACATGTTAAAATTTGTTTTTTTTTTTTTTTTCAAAATAGCAACATGAAATGATTCTAGAAAGTAAAAGATGGTTTATATAGCTTCGCGCTATGAGGCGTGCAATACTCAAACGTGAAACTTATATGTGAATAAAAATTTTTAAATATTTACGAACTCGATATATATTTATTAATACTTTAGCACTCTCGTTATGAGATTTTCAGTGTCATGCAACAACATCTAACTTCTAAAGCGGCGTTGTAATGCAAGTGAGATACTAAAATTCTCAAGAATTCTGAATAGTAAGGGTCTGAGTAGGATTAAATCGTCGGCGAGTGCTCGCTCGCTTTTGTAAAAAATGAAAATAACTGTTTCTTTTTGACTATTTTTAAATACATGCATAAAATTGAAAAATGTTTGACGTCACATCAGGGAGAGGGGGTTCTTGAAAATGTGACAACCTGTGACAAGGACGGGGGAAGAGGTTAAAAAGTCCTGAAATTCGTGTGACGTAATTTATGGATGACCCCATTAAGGAATCAAAAAAAGTCCAACAAATTTCAGAATAATACTGATTTGAAGTTTTGAATGTTTTTCACAGAAAGGGACTAAAAAAAACATCATTGATAAAATGAATATAACTCTAATGTGATTCAAGTCTAAAATAAAAAAATAATTTAAAAATATTTAGTTTTTTTTTTTTTAATTTATTGAGAATGTAGAAACTCCAATAAACACTCAGTAGTTAAAAAATTTATTTATGACCTAAGAATTTTTTCGTAAATTTTAAGTAGTGAGTAGGGTATTATCTGAAGGGTTTAATATTCTACTGTCAAGTGAAAAATAATCAATAAATTATCTTCTAAGGAAAATTACTAATTTATCTCAAGCATTCCATCACAATTAATGCTTGCCTTATCAATATTTAAATTTTTGGAGAGTGTTTCTATCAACATTTCAATATTTAAAAAAAATTGTCCAAAGTACCTGGAGGAAAGCTTTTACTTTTCAGATAAATTTTTTAACATATTATATTGACATAATGTTCCAGCTTTTGACTTTTTTGAATACGTGTGAGTCCGGGTTACTTGTGTAAGTTTTACTGGGTTCATAAAAATGATAATTAGCGCACTTCAAAGAATTAACTAGCGGACCTAGTTGACGTGTTCCATGCAAAAGATACGACACAAATATAAACGATACTTTTTTCTCTATAAGTTGTGGGTGTCATGGGTAACTAATTTAAAACAAAGTCATACGTTAGCAAGCATTTAATTCAGTCGACAACACGACTTCAAACTATTCAATTGCTTCCTCGTGAGTTGGAATCATTTTGCATTTTTTGAGAAATAATGATAACTTCTGACAATTTCTTTTAATTTTTCTCGTTTTATTTAATACTAGCTGTTACTCGCTCGCTCCGCTGGGTGCTTTATAGAATTGCATTTTTAAATCTAGACTTGAAATTTAATTAGAGTAATGTTTGACTTGCACAGATTCAAAATTCTGTCGAATTGGCGTGTACCTTTTATCCACCCAAGAAAAAATGTTTGTATATAATCATATATAATTATATATAATCATACATGATTATATATGGAAATGTATATGAGGTTATATATAATCATATATAATTATATATGACTATATATAGAGCAATATACAGCCAAGCAAGATTATATATAGTTATATATAATCATACATGATTACATATGGAATTGTATATGAGGTCATGCATGTAATTATTCTAGCTAATTTCATTGTAACGTTCAATGTGCAATCATTATAACATTCCTGTGTCTTTCTTACAAAAATGAATAATAATTGATATGAAAAAAAAAAATTTGTAATGAGCATTAAAAGTTTCAGTTAAAGAAATTGCAGGTCTCATAAGTAAAGAAATCTGCCTAGTATATAAACATAACCAATAGAATTAAAAAATTTATTTTAAACAAATGAAAATCGAATAGAATATAGTTACAATAAAAATTCATTATTTTTAAGTCAAAAAAGTATAGGTTCCGGATACGTAATCACCAACATATCATATACTAAAACCGTCTCCAAAATACGCTGCATTTTATGGTATAAGCATTATTCTGGTCGGTTCAGTAGTTTTCGCAATATAACCGAACAAAAGAACCGGCTCTCCATTTATTAGTATGGATATAGATAGATTATTTTTCTGAATTAATCATCATCACCTTAACAATGCGATTCATAAATATTATTTTATACTGCTGTTGCGTATTTACTGGTCACTTTTCAAATAAAAGCAGCATACACACCAGAAATCAAAACGGGCCTCATCAACAATACGGTAAGTTGATTACTTTTTAAAATTAACTTTAATTATTTATGATTATTTTCGAAATCGTTTGTTATTTTAACAGATAGAATTGATTAATAATGTTCTCATGAATAATTTAAATCCAGGAATAATAAATTATGATTTAGTTGATGACCAAGTTGAAAGTGGAAATGTCGACAATGATAATCCGCTGATTGTAATAAATGGGGATTTCAAACGTAAACAAATCGAAGGGTATCATCCGAGCTTCCCTACGTACGTCTTTATGTTTGAATCTTTGCAATATATATATATATATATATATATATATATATATATATATATATATATATAT